TGTAACACTTCACATCTGTTAGTGACAGATCATTGCAAATCCAGATGTTATGTAGTTAGGAAACAAACAAACAAACAAACAAACCAGAAAAGCCAGGACCTAAGAACAGCACAGAATCAAATTATTAAGAAAATATAACAAAGAGGAATGAAGGGAAGGGAGAGGGTAGGAATAGGAAAGACAGTGGAATGAATCTGACATAACTTTTCTATGTACATATATGAATATACCACAGTGAATCTCAACATTATGTACATCCACAAGATTGGGATCCTAATTAGAATAAGATATATTCCATGCTTTTGTGTGTGTGTGTGTATTTGCATATATATATATATATATATATATATATATATATATATATATATATAAATAGATGCTACTGTTCTGTATAACTAAAAAGAACAACAACAACAACACATACACACAAAACACTCAATGGGGGGGGGAATGCAATTGTGTAAGAGCAAGTACTTTTCACCCCAAAGTTCCACATGTTACTGTTACTCAAAAAGTTGCATGCACATAAGCCTGATAGTGTTGCTAGAAAGAATTATGGGAAAACCTGAGAGGGGCAGAGAAGTATGACGGCATCTCCCCTGCTATCTCTATTCCTTCACTCAAAATGAGCTATTCATGAGGTCAGATAAAACAAGTTACTCCTTTACAAAAACAGCTGATCATCAAATTCTGGGACCTACATACATTCAATTGTCTACATGTGTACAATAAATGGCTTAGGTATTTGTGAATAAGGAAAGTACTATTGGATTATTCTCTCTGACAATTTGCAGTCTAAAAAATGGTCAAAAATAAATAACCCCTAACGTTTGAAAAATGTAACATTTTAACTTAAATGTAATAAGGGCATGAATAAAGGCAGCAGCTGAAGTGTGAAGAGATAAATGAATGTTTCTTGTGCACAATAGTAACTCTTCAAAGAATAATTACATCTGCTTTCCTAGTATTTAAAGGAGACACATATCTCACCATTTTTAAAATAAAAAACTTTCTGCTTTATTGAGAAATAAGCTAAAAAATTTTGTGCCTGTTTATCCTTTATAATAATTATGTTAATAGAGTTAGTCCCAATGGTAGCTGTAAGTATGGATAGAAGATATGTTTATATTTCATCATTACTTTTAGTTCTGGGAATCAAACCCAGGGTCTTGCACATGCTAGGCAAGTGCTCTACTACTGAGCAATGTACCCAGCACTTTTTATTTTTTAACAAATAACCGTATTGAAAATTTGGCAAATAGGAAAGAAAAATATTTTACTAATAATACTACTGATTCATTATAAATATTGTTGGTATGTTGGTATGATTTGTTATGTAGTTTTTTTTCTTTGCAAGTTTAAAGTTATGACCACCTTTTCATCTTGCTTGCCATCTAACAGTATAAGATTGTCACATTATTGCATATTAGGAGATATATTTTTAAAAATCAATTTTGAAGATTCATTTAAAATTCACAATGAGACTAAGATATTTTCAGATACTGAAGATAAAACTTCTTGGCTTGCAGATGGTTTTTGGTCAATCTGTTTTGAGCCTCTAAGTCTGTACATATCAACCTTTGATTTCATAAGTATGGTATTAAATGAACTTCCAAAAAATTATTTCCAAACTGGAGTTTAAAAATGATCTCCCTAAGATTTCTCCTATGGGAAATAACTTTTAGATATTCAGAATTTTTTGCTTTGCTCTCTACTTTTTTCTTTTAAAGTAGAAAAGTATAGGAAAAAGGAAAATGAGAGCAGGGGGATAAGTTGGGAAACACTTCCTGAAATGATATCCCTATGTACATTTCTCCTGAACACTCCACAGATTTGACTTCTGTCTCTGCTCCTCATTGGTGAGTTTAGTTGCCCTGAGCAGGGTCTTCTAGAACAGAACAGTGTTTTACTCTATTCTGTTTTCCCCAAATCTAACCAAGTTTCCAGCACATAGTAAGTACTTAACATTTGATGAGTGAAGGGAAATAAGAAAATATGTACCTATCAGAGAGGAAAGAATTATATCAGGATGTTTTCAGCTGTAAGTTACAGAACAGCAACTGCAAGTGGCTTAAACAAAAAGGACATTTTTTATTTCACATGACACAAAGTTCAGATTCAGGGCAGTTGTGAGGTTGGTGAGCAGCTGAACGGTGTTGTGGAGGACCCAGATGTTTTTCATTTTTGTACTCAGCCATTCTCAGCATATTGGTGATTTCTTCTGTTATAGTTGTAAGATGGATGTAGGAGTTCCAGATGTCATTTGCATGACATGAGCATGTCCAACAAAGAAGAGGCGGTATTTTCTCCTGTGAATCTCAAGTTTATTACAAGGAAAAAAAACTTTTTGCAGATGCTTCCAGCTGACTTCCACTCAGGTCCCATTGGCCAGGATGACTTCACAAGCCCATGCCCTAGGCTATTTGATAGACACCGATAGTGACTAGTACTGAAATGCCAGAGGAAGCAATAATAGGGAAAAGATGTGCCACAGGGCAAAAGGTGGTGATAGAGGCAAGATGAAATCGCCTGTAGTATACCTAACACATAGTGTGATATGACCTAGGCCAATTTCATGCTTCTATCTATCTATCTATCTATACACACACACACACACACACACACACACACACACACACACAATACTATCTCAGAATAACATTATTTTAAAGGAACAAGTATACCATTCAACAGCAGATCCCAACTTTGGAGAAGTAAAGAATAGGAAATTGTATATACAAAATTGCTGAAACCAGGCTGGGGATATAGCTCAGTTGGTAGCTCAGGATATAGCTCAGTTGCCTTTCATGCACAAAGCCTTGGGTTCAAATCCCAGCACCATACACACACACACACACACACACACACACACACACACACACACACACATTGCTGAAACCAATCTAGGACCCTGGAAACTTCATTACCTTCATGGCAAATCTTCATCTAGGGCCATCCCTAGCCTTCCCCACATTGAATATCACTACTCAGGAAAGAACAGAAAATTGCTTAGGATGGAATTGGGTAACAATTTAGGAGAACAGTTTGCTTCACTATTAGCATTACAGTATTCAGGAGAAGGGGTATATGGCAATTTAGCAGTCACTTCAAGGAAAAGATCAAAGGCATGGAAATTATAAAGATAATAGATGTGTTTAAAAAGAACCTTGAGATTTGATTAATAGCACTTTTAAATAGTTGTGGTTTATTGCATATTCTTGTATCAACTACTAGAAACTATGTATAAAAATGAAAATATATGAGTAGATGAATTATTTTTGTACTTTCTTGATACAAATATTCAGCCCATTATATTCTAGTATAGGTACATATAAAATTGATATTACCATACAGCATCTGTATAATTTGGATTGAATTGAATTCTTAAGGACCATGTTAAAAATTAACAGCAAATATGAGTATTGTATTTAGATATTACATATACTTTATATTTTATTCCTTCACTTGTGTGGGGGGTATGTGTGTGAGGTACAGGAGGGAAACATTGATCATCTGTTTAGCCTGCTGTCTTGATTGCAGTGGTATCCCAGAGATTACTTCTGAGGAACCTGTTACGTAGCTGTTACACAAGATTGTAACAGTCTTTCTGCTCTTGTCTTCTTAACAAAACAAAAAACATTTTCCTCTTCTTTCTGGTTCTTGAAATTACATATGAACTTCCCACTGCATACCATATTTCACACTGGATTTTAAAAATGGAAACATATTTGCTAATGAATGTAGTGTTAATTTGCAGAAGTGTATTGTTGGCACCCAGAGTTGAATGAGCTTGGCACCTAATAACCTTTCATTAATACCTGTTTAATGAAATAATGAATGAACTGCTTATTCAGTATTGAAATCATTATGATAATTTAAGGAAAACAAGTTTTGGACACTAACCTGTATTTGCTAACTTTTTTTTTTTTTTTTTTGAAAATATGATAGTACCAATCTTTTAAAAAATTAAGCACTACATTCTCTTCAAATGAAAGACTTTATATGCCAAGTAGCTATTTTAGCTTGACAAGACATTTATTTATGGTTAGGGAACTACAAATCTGAGAAATAAAAGCATAATTTGAAAGGAAGAGTTTATAGAAATGAGTATAGGTGATTCAGTAAGAGACCATGAATGCAATGAGAGTAGAATCTGTAACTGTGTATGGTGCTTTATGCTTCTCAAAAGACATTCTTTATATACATATTATATGGGTCTGCCTGCCTGTCTCCCATTCTTTATAATTAAATATGTATTATTTTTATAGCTGTTATCCTTGGACACACAAGTAAATCAACATGTGTATTCAAAAGATATTTACTTGATTTCTGGTATGTAACATAGTTAATGTTTGGATAAAGGAATAATTTCATCTTAACATTTATATTTTAAAAAGTATGTGGATCAGTTGTAAATCTCGTTTTTGAAAGTGTTTTTAATGCACAATGAAAACACAGCTTTTTATTTTGTATAAAGTGTTTAAAAAATCTTTTAAAAGTATTACAAGATGAAAGGAATTTAAAAATCGACATTATTGGCACAAGATTCATGTTAATGTTTACTCACGTAAATAGCACAAAATACTGCCTAATTAGTGTGGTTGGTAAATTTTTGGTACTTTAATTTTCTCTGTTATTGTAAACCATGCATAAAATGCTTGCCTATTGAGAAGTGCAGAATTGTCAGAGCTTAAACAGCTGACATCTGCTTACTCTCTTAAAAAAAAAAAAAAAAAAAAAAAAGAATAACAAGCCATTTCAGCCTAATCTACCTCAAATGTGTTCATGTAAATGGAGGTCCATCTATTGACCTGTGTTCTTTTCAGCTCAGGATTGGTCCACATGGTTTATGAAACCAGGAAGGCTGATTTGAAATGCAGATGTCGAGAGAGTGAAGTCCACCCTCCCCTTTTTTCTTTGCTGTATCTGTCAGGGTGAAAAATGGCTTGCACAAGGGTCAGTCACCCATACTCACTTAATTACTTTTCTTGGACCCACAGAACTGTCACAAGCTGTGGTAGATGCAGGAGCTGTTCCTCTTTTAGTACTCTGTATCCAGGAGCCAGAAATTGCTTTGAAAAGGATTGCTGCTTCAACCCTCAGTGATATTTCAAAGCATTCTCCGGAGTTAGCACAGACAGTAGTGGATGCAGGAGCGATTGCTCACTTAGCCCAGATGATCCTCAGCCCTGATGCTAAACTGAAGGTATTTATAAAGAAGCCAAGAGACAAACAAACCAGAGTTCTAACAATCTAAAAAAAGAAAAAAGGAAATGTGCACAGATTAATATTCTACAGCTAAAAATAATTAGTAAATTATCATTGAAAACAGACATGAATATACTTATTATTCTATGGTTTGTTAATATATGAAAAGAATTATTAGAAAATAAAGAAGTGATTGGGAAAACTAGCCGCAATATTTAAAATTAGAAGTAGCATTGAGGTTAACATTAACCATTAAAAGAAAGAGTCAAATCTCAGGGTTGAATGGGACCTAAAGGTTTTCTAGCCCACCACCATAATATTCAAGTTTCTTTTGAAAATGGTCGTATTTATGTTAGTATTCTTTGCAGCTTTCCAAAATCATATTTTGAATTAATAGTCACCATTTTTAACTTTTGTATTCTCATATTTATACTCTATAAAATTTTTAAATTATTAATGTTAATAACAGAAAGTTCTTTGAAAGGTATCAAATCATAACAAAAATGTTAGTTCTGCTTAACCATTTTTGTACTAAATTATGACGTGTCATAAATTTACCATTTATACTTAAGAAATTATCTTCATCAAAAAGTCATATTCTTTTATAATCTATAATAGGTAGAATTTTTAAATTAGAGAACAAATTTAGAAATTAGGGAATTAAAAAAATGAATATAAGACTAGGATGTAAAAGTCTCAAAATTCAGAAACCTTAGGTCATATTATTTAATTTTTTCCTTTTTTATAATGGAATTTGAATATTTAGCTATTTAAATTACATCTGAACTCTGTAGTGGACTAGGGGAATTCTATGTAATGTTTTTGTTATTTGTTTTTGTTTAACAGCGTCAAATCCTTTCAGCTCTCAGCCAGATTGCAAAACATTCTGTGGATCTGGCAGAAATGGTTGTTGAAGCAGAGATTTTTCCAGTTGTACTTACCTGTCTGAAGGACAAAGATGACTATGTGAAGAAAAATGCTTCTACTTTAATTAGAGAGATTGCAAAACATACACCAGAGGTGAAAAAAAGTTTGTTTTTTAAAAAAACCTTCAAGATACAATAATATGTAATTTTAGTTTTCAAATGAAACAGTTTATTTATGGGCCCGAGGGTTGTGCCACAGGATCTGGTTAGGTCAGGGTTTTTCAGCTCAGCACTATTGACACTTTGGACTAGGTGATTCTTTGTTGTGGTGAGCTATGCTATACATTGTAGAATGGGCTCTGCCCACTGGATGCCAGCAGCACCCCTCCCCACAAGCGGTGACAATCAAAAATGTCTCTATAGGTTACAAAATGTCCCCCAGGGGACAGAATTGCCCCCATTTGAGAACCACTGGGTCATAATAATGGAGTTTGAGTTAAAATTTCAGTTTTTAATCATTTCCAGCTTCCCATTTCTTGATTGTGGGGACTGTGGACTACTGTCACCTTATCATCTTATGTCAGCTGGGAGTAGTCAGAATAGTATACCTCTAGGTTGGGATAGACCACAAAGGTCCACTGATATAACATGACCACTCTATCAGCTGTTCTCACATGATCATTTCCTGATCTGAGTTCTTAGATGTGAAAGAATTAGAGACAAAGCAAGCTGTGTTGATTCTGAAGCTGTATCTTTTTTCTGTATATATTTTGACTAATCAAATTTCATTTCATTACACATTAAAGTCTCATTTCTTATTTCATCTTTATTTGGTTGATATTTTTTAAAAATGGAAGAGCATGCAGCTCCTAATAATTGTTAGCAAAGTGGGGGGGGGGGGTAATTAGGTTAGCATATTTCAAGACTGACATTGTCTTTCAGCATTCAGTGATTAATCTACTTCATACTCACACATTGTGATTGGGGGTTCAGTAGTTAGCTAGTTATGAACTAGCCCTAGGCTTAGTGTCTAGGTGAGGAATTTTGACAACCATTATAATAGGGATAAAAGTTGTGCCATCGATGCATGAAAAATTAAACCGAGGAGTAAAGACTCTCACAGTGAGTATATTTGTGTGTTTGAATTAGCAGGGCTATTATATTTGTGTATTTCTTTACTAAATACCTTAGTTTCTCTAAATGATATTTCAGTTTTACTAGTTGTTTTAGGTTCTAAATAAAGTGTGGCTACACTAATATTTAAAGATGATTGTATGCTTTCCAGCCCCGATTGTCTAGCTCTTGTTCTTTTTTTCCAGCTTGCACAGCTGATAGTTAACTCAGGAGGTGTAGCTGCTGTGATTGATTGTGTTGGGTCCTGCAAGGGAAATATAAGGCTGCCTGGCATCATGATGCTCGGTTATGTGGCAGCTCATTCTGAAAATCTAGCAATGGCAGTGATCATTTCCAAGGTTGGTTCGTTCTTCATTTCTCCTAGTTATTACAGTAAGATATTCTAAGACAGAACTATACAGATTGAGACTCTTCCACAGAATATAAAATATAACTGATCACAGCAAAAGAATTACCTGAAAAAATTTTCAGTTGTTTCAATGTGTTTTTCAGTGCTTACATTTCCTAAAGCAATCCTTGATGAAAGATTTGGGTCACAGGAAATTTAAACTTTTACTCAGAGTTTCATATCCACTGTCTGAGTATTATTATTGTAATATTTAAATACAGAAAATAGTATCTTACAGAATCGTGCATATTTACAAACATGTAAAGCATAACTTGGTTAAAAACTAATATAAATTATATGACAAGTAGTCATTTTCACTGTTCTGAGGTCTACACATCTCTTCCTCCCTTTCCTGTCATTTGGAAGGAGATGGCAATGGCTAGGACACCTTTTTAAATTCATTTTCACTCAACTTTCATAAACTCATTTCTCAAACTAGGCCATCACAGCACAGGTCAGACATCAGTGCTCTTTGTTTCCTAGGGATTTTGCCTTATCTCGGTTTACAACTTTCTATGAACCCATCATAGGTGCAGCCCTGGTACATAGTAGGTGCTCACGAAATATGTTGATGAATAAATATTGATCTGAAGAACGCTTCAAAGGCTCTGTGTGCTTAAAGTGTGTGTGGCGACCCTTTAGGGTGTGGGTTTCTTATCAGCGTAGAAAACCTGCTGCTGTATGTTAAACAGAAATGCGGATTTTTTTTTTTTTATCCCTTGCTAATCCTCAGAATAAAAAGAAGTCTCAAATCTTTATTTTCTACCTATTCCACGATGATTCTTTGCATCACTCCCTTTCATCCTGTTCTTTTTCTTTTGTTCTTCTATTACCACAGGCTGTGACGGAGACTAGAGTAGTAGTGGTGCTTTCGGAAGAGTCACAGTAAGAATGTTACTGGGGTTTTTTTTGATCCTCCGTTCTTTTGTGGAAAGTCAGAAAGCTCCCGCGTAGGAGGAAGGATGAAGGCCGCAGCAGCTGCCTGTGCTGCCTCCCTGCTCCTGCTAGCTGCCCGGGAGGCTCTCCCCTTTGGTCTAGGGCTGCTGCTGGCCTTTCCCACCTGGTTTTGTTTTTCAGTTAGTTAAGATCAAGGTGGCGGCAGCAGAGGCGCACCACCCTAAAGTAGTGCAGCTTTCTCGTCTTTTCCCGTGTAGCTCTTCAGGGACTATTAATAACGCCCTACATTTAAATAACGCTTTATAATTTTTTGAAGCACATTCATGCTCCTTATCTCACTTGTTATTCATAACAGTCGAGGCCAATAAGGCAGAGCTTGGGGGTCAGGTGGAGGCCCGGCTGCTTTTCTCCTGAATCTTCAGTCTCCTTCTATCACAGAAGGACAGGCTTTCTGCAGTCACTTCACTCTGAAGACAGGTCTGACCTTTTGTATTGGCAGACATGCATTTTTAGTTGTAGGAAAGAGCAAATGAAGAAATATGGCAGTTCTCTTTGGGAAACTGGTCTTAATAACCGAGTTAAAAGATGGAAGAGAAAAAAGTACGTATGATGATTTGGGCCTTCTCTATGGTGATGACCATGTGAATACTGTTTTTTTGTGGTACTAAATTTGAGGTGATTACTATAGTCTCAAATTAGTTAGAAAATTATCCCTGTGCAGAATCTGTGAATTAGAATTTGATTGGGGTTATTTGATTTTTTTCTTGGTTATATGGACTGTGATGTGGCTCTTTAGTTAATTGTATCTTTATTATTTAGATGAAATTGAAGCCTAAGAGTAAACTGTGAGCATATGCTATCTCTGTGACAAAAATAATCATTTCTACTTTGACAGTCATGTTAAAATCAGCAAAACTATAACTTAAAAGTTGACCAAAATTAATGGAAAATTGTTTATATACTATTTCAGGAAATATATTAGTGGATATATTTCATTTAAAGGTATTTAGTTAGGTTTCTTAGACATTTCATTTTAAGTCTGTAGTATTTATTCTGTTCTCAGATGTATGTTACTTGGCAAGAATATACTTTTTTTTAAAGATTCTAAATTAACTATTTTTTTAAACAAAGGAAAATAAAACATTTTAAGATCCTAAACATTTTTAATTTGTCACAGTGGAATCTGGTTTTGCCTAGTCTGTGACATCTGTTGTTTGGTTAAATGTCCCTCTATTTGGGGGGTAAAAGCTAGTAGAGATATTCGTAGTTAAGTTGGATTGTTACAGATAATTAAGGTAATTTAGTTCTAGTGATTTTATTGACTTAAGAAATGACAGCCCCTGTGATGTGCTCATTTATTGAACCATTTAGGAAAAAAAGGATCAAGGCTGAAATGATTTCTTCTAATGTTTGAAAGACACAGAAGACTCTTTAATCCTGCTCTAGATTTATAACACTTGCTCTTTTGATCACCGCTGCAGGGTGTACCCCAGTTGTCAGTCTGCCTGTCAGAAGAACCAGAAGATCATATTAAGGCTGCTGCTGCTTGGGCCTTAGGACAGATTGGGAGACACACTCCCGAACATGCACGGGCTGTCGCCGTCACAAATACTTTGCCAGTTCTTCTTTCTTTGTACATGTCACCCGAGAGTTCTGAGGATCTACAAGTGAAAGTAAGTGCTTTATTCTGAAGGGTTATATGACTATTTGTTAGATTTTTAACTCATTAAAAAATCCATAATTTTAATTTTCCTTATGGAAAATATTGCTTTTATGAGCCAAGAAATACAAATTTAGCTGAGCATGGTGGCTCACATGACTCTGGAGGCTGAAGCAGAAGGATAGCAAATTCAAGGATAGCCTATGTAACTTAGTAAGACCCTGTCTCATTAAAAGAAAGAAAGAAAGATACACAAATTATCAGAAGAATTGAGGTTTCTCTTTTTTTAGAAATAGGTTACCCTTGTCTCTGTAAATCAGTTATATATTTAAAGAAATCTGGGTCTAAAGTTATAAAATGAGTGGCTGGTTATTGCCTTCTACATTCCTGTTCACTTTTCCTATAAAATAGGAATTAAAGAATAATAGGATTTTTGAGTTGGAATTTGCTGGAAAGTTCTTTGGTCCATTTTACATTAAAAAAATTTAGTCCAAAATACTTTAAGGTGCTTTTCAAGGGTGTAAGGCAACTAATTGGAAAGTGTCCCTGAAGTTATATATTTTACCTCTCTAACTTCAAGTCTACCTGATTTTTAAATTACATGTCTTGTCTATTTGTTCCTTTAAAAAAATCCACAAAATTCACCAAATCATTTTTATTTTTGCTTTGTTTATTTTGGCACTAGGGATTGAACTCAGGTGTGCTTTACCACTAAGCTACATTTCCAGCCCTTTTTATTTTTTTATTTTGAGACAGGTTCTCCCTAAATTGTTTAGGGCCTCACTAAGTTGCTAAGACTGGCCTTGAACTTGCACTCCTCCTGCCTTTGCCTCCCAAGTCACTGGGATTATAAGGGGTGTACCACTTCTCATTTAATCATTTTTAAATAGGCAAGTTTAATAAAAAAATATTACTAGCTACTAAAGTGATATACAAAACTTGAATATAAAGTAGGATGGATTGTTTAATAATTTTATACTGTCAAAGAAAAAATATTTTCCAGTGTACTTCCTCTTAGGAAAACACGTAACCTGTGTGTGTATGTTACTAGGGATTAAACCCAGAACCTTATACATCCAAGGTAAATACTCTATCACTGAGCTACTTGCCCAGTTAAAATAGGTAACTTTTTGAAAGCAGCTTGTGGAATTGACTTGGATTGAGGAAAGTTCATAGAAAAGACAATTTAAAATAAAATTAAGGGGCTAGGGATGAAGCTTGGCAAACATTTAAATTTTAGTTAAAACAGTAGATTAAATGCCAGGCACGGTGGTGTACAACTGTAATCCCAGTAGCTCAGGAGGCTGAAACAGGAGGATCACGAGTTCAAAGCCAGCCTCATCAACTTTAAGGTGCTAAACAATTCAGTGAGACCCCATCTCTAAATAAAATACAAAAAATAGAGCTGGGGATGTGGCTCAGTGGTTGAGTACCCCTGAGATCAATCCCTGGTACCAAACAAAAAACAAACAAACAAACAAAAAACCCAAAATAAATTAACAAATAGGAAAACACATTTACTAAAACATAACTTTAGTTGGTATAATGAGGCAGGAAAATAACTTAAACTACCTAGGTTAGGGACTCAGAGTTATATATAATGAGTCAGTTATTTGACTTATAAATTTTACAAAAGTGAATTTATGTTCACTTGGTGATGTTTGAATATTTTTTCTCTACAAATACACTGAAGGAAGTTGACTTCCAAGATTAACATTTTTTTTTCAATTTGTAAGATAATTTTTAGATCAAAGCAGTGATTTAATAGATTTAAAGCTTCCTTCACATGACCCCAACATTGAGACAATATTGGCAGTGCTTGACAGAGAGAAAAAGATTGTGTTCTCTAAGGTCTATTCTAGTTCAACAGGTCTCTGATTCTTTGAATTTCTGATAAGAAGCCACAACTCCATTTCCAGTTTTGATTTGTCTATGCACACACCCACACACCTTTGTCCAGGTATGTGTATACATATATAATTTCAATCTATGTATGTCATCCTCTTTTAACCTCATATTTCTTAACCCATTATCATTATTTTTCCTTTTTTCTCCTCTCCTCCCCAACTTCTTGTACTTCTTTTCTTTCCTCAGTTCTCCTCACTTCTCATTCCCCTTCCCTTATTTCCAGTGATCCAAAGACTCTTGGCCTCCTCTGCAGGCATAAACTGGGCCTAGGCTGTAATAGTAATTGTGTTCAATTTAGAGATTATTAATAGATAATTTATTAATATTTAAAAATAATCTCTATTCTTTCAGATTCCTGCATTTAACAACTTTTGTTTTAAGTTTTGGAAATAAAATGAAAGAATACATGTAATAGAACATGAATGATTAATGGTGGAGTTAATAGTAATTATAGCTTGAGAAACCCTTGTAAATAGTCACTTAGTAGTATATAAAAATTACATAGTGCTACCTAAGTTTATATAGCTTGGTTTTTAAAGATTATTATGTAAATATCACTGGAATAAAATAAATTGGAAAACTTCACTTTTTAAAGCAAGATAACCTTTATCATGTTTTAGTTTATTGTAGGTGGCTTTAATAGGTTAACTTAATACTACAGTTCCTTCTGCTTTTATGTGACACAGAATTTACTTTCAGGAAATACACTGGGTACTAAATTAAAAAGTGGATCTTTTTTTTTTTTAAATTTTTTATTGTTGGCTGTTCAAAACATTACATAGTTCTTGATAGATCATATTTCACACTTTGATTCAAGTGGGTTATGAGCTCCCAAAAAGTGGATCTTTATAAGGCATTATCCTGTTAGCAATCTTCCCAAGACTTGAAGTCCATCTGAATATTTTCTTATTGTAGGGACTTAATCATTCCTTTTTCTTTCCCAAGTTCTCTTGAATTGTACCAGTTGTTGTTTTAGTGGCTTAAGAATGAAGTCCATTCAAGCCTGTTTGATTTGACCCTCTCCCACTAGGGAAAAGTGTATCCAAGAACACCAGGAACTCTCTAGTGGCATTTCTCATTTGTTAATCTGTGGCAGCTTTCAAATTACAAGGCCATGTTGAAGTTCATTTTGTCCCAAAGGCATGTCAGCTTCTGTAAGCATTCTCTAATTGGTTCCAGTCCAGCAGAACCAATGAGCAGCCTCATAGAATTTCTCTCATGTTGTCACTTAGCCTTATTATTTGCCTGCTCTTATGTTATTCCAAATACCTTAATCAAAGCAATACAAAACAAAACAAAAATCTTTGATCTAATAAACTGATCTGTATTTATTGTGAAAACATTTAGGCATTTTCATTTTCATTTGTTTTAATTTAGAGGCATCATTGAAATGTTCCATTTTTAGCTTGCGGCATTTGAATCAGTTTATTGTATTTAGTTATAAAATTATTTCTAATATATTTAATGTAGCTATTGTGTTTTTGTGTTCGTGGTTATTCCATCCTCACTTTTTAATTTTTTGCATGGTATTGGGGATTTAATCCAGGGCTCCAGCAAGCAAGGCAAGCTACTCCACCACTGAACTCTGTACCCCAGGCCCACTTTACATTTTTTAGCAGCTTTGTTGAGATATAATTTGCATATCATACAATTTACCCAATTAGATTTATATATACTACAGTGATTTATAGTTTACTTACAAGATTGTGAAACCATCACCATAAACTAATTTTAGAACATTTTTATTCCACACCAAAGAAATGTTGTGCCCTTACCACTCACTCCACATTCCCTCTGCATAGGCCCAGGCAACCATTAAAATTTACTTTTGGTATCTGTGGATTTTTGTAATCTGGACATTATGGAATCATACAGCATATGTGGCCTTTTGTGTCTAAGTTTTTTACTATGTAGTGTGAGTTTTAAGATTCCTCCATTATAGCATATATTAGTATTTTCCTTTTTATTTTCAAGTAATATTCCATTGCATTAATGTACCATATTTTGTTTATCCATTCACCCATTGATGGGCATTGGATTATTTCTACTATTTGACTATTATGAATTAGGCTGCTATGAATATTATTGTACAAGTTTTTGTGTGGATGTGTTTTCATTTCTCTTGGGTATATACCTCTTGGGTCTTGGGTAACTTCAATATTTTGAGGAACTGCCAAACTCTTCCAATGTAACCATACCATTTTATATTCCTACCACAAATATAAGAGGATTCCAATTTTTCCATATTCCTGGTAGCTCTTATTATCCTTATTTTTGATTATAGCCTTCCTAAGTGGGTGTGGTTTGGTATTGCATTGCAGTTTGATTTGTGTTTACTTAATGTTTAATGATGCTGAAAATCTTTTCATATACTTCTTGGCCATTTGTATGTTTTCTTTGCAGAAATATCTATTTACACTTTTTCCCAGACAACAATAAGTATTGACTGCCATGTGGAGAAACTTGAACCCTCTTACATTGCTAGTAGGAATATAAAATGTTGTGGTTATACTGAAAAACAGTTTAGTAGTTTTCCAAAATATTAAACATAAAGATATCACCATTACCCAACAAGTTCTATCTTAGATATCTACCCAAGAGAACTGAAAACACTTGTATACATAAAGACTTGCATATAAATTTTTATAGCATCATTATCATGATAGCCAAAAGTTGATATAGCCCACATGTCCATCAACTAGTGAATAGATGACCAAAATGTCATAAATCCATATAATAGAATCCTATTTGATGATGAAAAAGAACAAAGTACTGATACATGCTACAACATAGATAGAAATTCACAAACATTCTACATGGTGAAATATTCCAAGCACAAAAGTTTACACATTGCATGATTTAATTATTATGAATTGTCCAGACAGCCAAATTTATATAGACAGAAAGTAGATTAGTAGCTGCCTGAAGATGGTGGGGCTAAGTGGAGGTGGGAATGAGGAATGACTACAAATGGGCCTAAGACTCTTTTTGGGATGATGAAATGTTCTAAAATTAGATTGTGGAGATGGTCACATGATTCTGTAGATTTATAAAGTTCATTGAATTGTGTATTTAAAAACCAGTGAATTTATTATATATAAATTGTATCTTGGTAAAGTTAAAGATCTTAAACTCAGAAATAGACATGTAAACAAAATCTTAATTAACTGATATTTCTTTCATGTTGAATAAATAGCTGATTATAAATCATGACATACATTCCAACCTGTAACAATATAGCTATAAGTTGAGTTTATTTCTTCCAGATGAAGGATAGTAATGTTCAGTGAATTTCTAGTGTCATTAGACTCTTTTCAAGAGTTCTTGATTAATAATTCCACAGTACATCGTCAATTTGGAACTATTAGAATTAGAGGAGGGCGGGCTGGGGATATAGCTCAGTTGGTAGAGTGCTTGCCTCATTTTAAGATGGTCACAAAGAAACAGTATAACCAGGTATATTGGGAACTGAGAGTTCAATTCTAACTTATACTAGAGGTAAAGAGGGGGCTGCATTTCTTACATTCCTTCCTTTATTTAATCTAATTTATAAAACAATGTTTGAAGACAAATGTGTTAAAAGATAAGAGGTTATACAAGACTACTTTATTTGGGTTTCTGAGAAATCTTAAATTCAAGAGATCCTTTACTGGTAGCACAAATAGATTGAATGTTTTTGCTGAATCCATTAACAGTTATAAAGTAATGTGAAGATTAAAATTTTCCTGCATTTGAAGAGCATTGCTAAACATTCAGTAACAAGATCACAATCCCAGAAGACCAGGTTGACTAAGCCCTCAGAGAGAGAATGTTTAAACAGAGCAAATCTGTATGGATGCACTGAAGCACAAAACCATATACAAGCAGATGTGGAATTCCAGTGGAAAATACCTATAGATACACACAATTGTGAAACTTTCCAAAATGAAGGGGACAGGCTGTAATACAAGGAAACAAACTCACAACCAGCCATGGCTTCAGAGCTGGCTGCAGTGATGTGATATAGTCACATCAGGACTTTCCTTCAGCAATGCTATGGCAGGGAGCAGCACTATGTGGTGTCACTTTGATTTATGGAAGAGCCAGGTGTGGTGGCACACACCTGTAACCCCAGCAACTTGGGAGGATGAGGCAGGAGGATCACTAGTTCAAAGCCAGCCTTAGCAGTGGTGAGGTGCTAAGCAACTTGGTGAGACCATGTCTCTAAATAAAATACACAATAGGGCTGGGGATGTGGCTCAGTGACCAAATGTCCCTGAGTTTAATCCCAGGTGCCAAAAAAAAAAAAAAAAAAAAAAGAGGAAAGAAGAAATATGGAAGAATTCTGGGTGTGTGTGGGGAGTACCATGTGGTACCTGATCTTTTGTTTGTAGGTGATCCACTTCCTATTGTTGAGATGAGTTTTTCTTGACAGCTGAATAGATCCTATCTGTTTTGCTTCTATAAAGGATGAAGAAATTTCTTCCCATAACCCATAGCCACATTTCTGCAGATATGCATTGAGTAATACACACAGTAGATATTTCTAAATACATATGTATAAACCAAGGAATCTTTTGGAGAATACACAATGTCTGATAATGTCATTCTACAATAAACCACATTGTTTTCTCATATTTATTGATTGGGAGAAATAGGATGTATTAGTTATCATAGTTTCATATATACAAATGTTACACTAATAATAAACACATATTAATTTATAGTCTATAATTTTATGCTTCATAATTTTAATTTCCTGATAGATATTTTAAAAACTCTATAAATATTATATATTTTAAGGTTTAACAGAAAGACAGCTGTCAGGGTATTCTATAGTAAAACCAATCAAAAATAGGAGTTTGTCAGCCAGTTATTTTTAATAATGAAGCAACTGCAGGTTAGACCGGGAAATTGATTTCATTTTCAAATTCCAGGAATTTATGACATGAATTTTTGTGAAACTTTCATTGATTACTCAATTTCATATGCATTTTCCTTTGTATTTCAATAGAGCAAAAAAGCCATTAAAAGTATCCTACAAAAATGCACCTACCTACCAGCCCTTGAACCATTTCTGTACGATGCTCCTCCCAATATTCTGAAGCATGTGGTTGGACAGTTCAGTAAGGTAAGAATTGCTCTTTTAGCCTTTAAGAATTAGAGTAAGAAAATAAAAATGATTTGTTGACTTTTTTGTTGTTGTTGTTTTCTTCTTTAAGATCGGGTCTGGGGTTTACTACTTAACTCTCTGTATTTACACGGATAATACAGGCTAGTAACGTCCACATATAAATAAAACACTTCCTTCTTTCCCACTCTTTTCTCAGTTTCTATACTGTCATTTTAAGTATTCTCAGGAAGTAAGTGGTATGTCAACACATAAACACTTTGTAATACAGATAATATATATTGATAAGTAACTTTTAGTAGTTTTTCCCAATGTCTTTTAGTTTCATTCACCTGGGAACATGGCAAAGATCTTATAAAGAAAAAGAAAGATGTCTCTGAGCCACTGAAATATTTTTCACGAAGTCCATGCACTTTACTACAGATGCTCTCAGACAGTCATTTGGAACCTACTGACTTTTTTTTTTATGAACAGTTTTAACAAATGTAGCTGTCACATTTCTAAGATCATTGCAGATTAAGCGATAGTAAGTGGTAGTAAAGGAGAAAGGTCAAGCTGCTAGAAGTGGGCACGGCTGGCAGAGTTGACTACTGATAGTCAGGTATAGAAGAGAAGAGCAGTATAACACAGTCATCGGCGTCAGGATGGCGACCTAAGCCATCAAAAATAAGTTCAATTATCTTCATATGTTTGACTTAAGAAAATGAGGTCAGCAAGGTATATACCACAGTGCTTATGCATACAGGCTCAGGCACTGAAGTATGTATGTGTGCTACTTAATAGCACTAATTCTTTACTAAAGTCTTGACCTCTCTAAATCTTAATTTGACTACCTGTAAAGTGAGAAGAATAGTGGTTTTTATTTCATATGATCAATGTAAAGATTAAATGAGATTGATTATGGCTAATTAAATCACTTTTTAAATTAGGGAAGAGGGCAAGTTCATTTTAATAGTTTTAATGCTACATAAATGCAGTACTACTGTTGTATAGCATATTTCTACAAATAATGAACAAAAAGTGTATATTCTAACTTTTAAGTACATTCTACATTTTAGATACTCATATAAAAGGTAGATTTTACTAACAGCCCTTAGTTCTCGAGTCTCTCCAAGATCCCCTCAAGTGCCACAGCTACTGGAAAGCAGAGGTTATCTCTGAAGCTACCTCAGGATACAGTTCTGTGCATCAGACCCCTATGCTCTGTTTTTCCTTTCAAGAAAATAATGAAACATTTTTTTCCCTCTTAGTTATATGGGATGTGGGAGATAAAATGGCATATTCCCTTTGAAAAACCCACTAACCAACTAATGTAGAGAAAAGACTATAAAGTACTGCATGGGGAAAAATTCATTTCTTCATTTTTGTGTACTGTTGGGTGCTAAGTAAGAAATTCACTAGCCGATTTGGTCATCTACCTTATCTAAGGGTAAGGTGCTGAGTGGATCATCTATAGACAAGAGTCATCAACTCTTGAAAATGAATAGTTGACATTGTTTCTGAAAGTCATTTTGTAGTTTAATTTTTTAGTCTAACGAGCAAGAATATATTGTAGTTTTATTGAACTTGCTATGAAAATGAACACTTTGAACTTGCTATGAAAATGAACACTATGCTAAGAGTTCAAAATCAGTAAATAAAAATCAGTGAGATTCATGGAAGTTAAACAATTAATTAAGGGCAAGTATCATATACTTTGCAGATGTGTACATTTGCTTCAGGCAGAATTTTTAATTTTCTTAGAGGCTTCTTAAAGGAATAATACTCAAGCAAAATCTTAAAACTATGAGTCAGAGTTAATCAGGCAAAACGGGAGGCTTGTGGAGTGTGAAAGGTATTCTAGGGGGAGGATGCAGCATGGGCAAAGGCAAGAAATAACACAGCATTCACACTTTGATGTTACTGAAGCAAAATTTAGGGTGGAGATTGGTGGGTAAGGAAGCTAGAGAGGAGTATAGGAGTTGGGCCCCAGAAGACCTTTCCTGCTTTGTTAAGGAGCTTGCCTTCAATTTCATAGGTAGTGGAGACACCCCAAATGAGTGTAAACTTTATGTTTTATGTTTACGAGTAGAACACCAATGTTTTTGCTCATATTCATTGCCTTTCTTCCATCTCCACAACATAAAAAGTTAATGCACTTCTAGAAGGAGTGCATTTCACTTCCAATCATCAGCAAATTTTGGCTTACAATGCTATAAATATATCGGGTGTACATTTTCTTCTACATTTTTTGGATACTTTATTGCTTTTTTGGTAGCAATGATCTAACTTGGAAAAGAAGAGCTGACATTTTTATTTGTTTACTTTCAAGGTGCTACCACATGATAGCAAAGCTCGAAGACTTTTTGTAACAAGTGGTGGACTAAAAAAGGTTCAAGAGATAAAAGCAGAACCTGGTTCTCTCCTTCAAGAATATATCAACAGTATTAACAGTTGTTACCCAGAGGAAATTGTGAGGTGAGAATATGGACTTCAAAAAGTTCAATATTATGTTGTAGTGTTTTTGGTTTCAAATCTAGATTTTTATATCCACTTTTCAAAATGTGTACTTTGAAATACTACATGAGGCCAGTGGATACCTTGACTTTTCTCTTGATCTCTTTTTAACCCTCTTCAAATTTAATTATGTTCTGATTTATACATTTCCAAATCAACCTAGAATATTATTTAAGGCATTGATATACTAATTTAATATATGCTACTAAGGAATAACCAAATACAGAGTCTAAATTAAACTGTTTTTAAATTGTGAATACCTGTTTTTGAAGAAGCCTGTAGATTGTGATTTTCATAGTTCCCTGTGTATTCTTAAGCTCACATTACATTAATGGAAATATTATTGAAGATAATAATGTTGAGTAATAAAAAGAAAGTTACTATGTACATGAGAAAAAATACATAAATAATATGTATGATATGCTGACATGCCGGTATCTCAGAGTAATCTTATAGGAAGCTATGTTCAAGATTATTATTATTTTTTTTGTGTGTGTGGTGCTGGTGATAGAACCCAAGGCCTCATATATTCTAAGCAAGTGCTCTACTCCCAGCCCAGATAAAACATTTTTTAAATAAAGTTGATTTGCAAGCATTAAACCCAAGTCTCAGTTCTTGTAGGCCTAATGGAAAACTATACCATTAAACCCAAAATAAATACAAGCAAATTTTACCAAGAAAATAATAGAATGAATTAAACAAATGAATTTTGAAAAGTGCTCACAAAGACTGAAGACTAAAAGGTATATTTATTTATAGTTTTGTAATCTTATGCTAAATTCTTTCTTCACTAATACTGAAAAATATAAATTGCAGTTTTTTTATGTTATAGCATATATATAATTTATAGTTTATTCTATTTAATATCAATAATTTTTAATAATATGGTAACAATAATTTTTAAAGCACACAAAAAAGTTAAGATAAAATGTGTTTTCTGTTCATGTATATTCAGATAGAAAATTCTTTCATGAGTTGAAAGTTTATGTACCTTTGGGAGGCTTATGCAAACTCCTTTCCCAAAAGAGTTCTAATAAACCAGCTTCGAAAATATTAATCAGAAGAGCAATATATCATAACATGTATAATTACTATACAGAGAATATACAAATGTTTTTGTGTAGCATAAAATATGTATGAAACCACTAAATTTGGGATTATAAAAATCTTTTTTCAGCTGGGTGTGGTGGTACAACCTGTATCCAGTGACTTGGAAGACAGAGGCAGGATAAACCTGAGTTCAAGGCCAGCCTCAGAAACTTAATGAGACCCTGCCTCAGAATAAAAAATGAAAAGGCTGGGAGTATAGCTCAGTGATAAAATGCTGCTGGGTTCAATCTCCAGTATCCACCTCAAAAAATCTTTTATTAATATTGTTACATTAATTTTTATACTTGGGATATATGTCCATGCAGGAAGAATGCTGTTTTATATGTTTAAGATAACTCCCAATTCAATTTTCTAAAAAAAAAAAATTAAAGAAAAATTGGGGGAAAAAGGCAAATAAATTAAAAGATTCCAAAATGGAATTATGTGTTAGAATTTATCAATGTTAAGGTACTTTCTTGAGTAGAAGTTTTCTTTTTACTCCTTTTAAGCCATATTTTTAAATTGAGCACTGAGGGAAATTAAAAACTGTCCAATTAGAATTTAATCTGGCTGGGCATGGTGGCCTATAATTCTAGTGGCTTGGGAGGCTGAGACAGGAGGATCACAAGTTCAAAACCAGCCTCAGCAACTTAGTGAGACCCTATAAAAAAGGGCTGGGGATGTGACTCAGTGGTCCCGAGTTCAATCCCTGGTACAAGAAAAAAAAAAAAAAGAATTTAATCTGGTGCATTGTAAAAATACCATTGTAAAAGTTAACTTGCATTCTGTCATCTGGGGTATCCTTTTAAACATTTGTAATTATCTTGAGGAATGTTGGTTGGCTGACTTTTAAAAATTTTCTAGTGTTTTTTAAGCATTAGCTTCTATAGTGTTTTATAGAATCTTTGAAACGTTGTCTTTCTGTGAAAATAGACAAATATATTTTAAAATGTTTCTATTTTTGTAATTATATATTTCCCAAGAATCACTTGATGACAACTTTTAGAACTTTTATAGCTAATTTTTAGAACTAATGTAAGAAAAGATGATCAGTAGATACATTGTCATCTATTATTAGCCTAAACATTTATTTCATATTGCCAATTTTAGTAATCTTTAAGGTAGGCCTTAGAAGACCAAAGGTCTAGGCTGGGCCCACTCCACAGCCAAGTGTTTTTAAAAACTCCTTTGTGTTCTGTATCTCTGCCCACACTGGGGAGGGGAGGTGGATTTTTGGCAACCATCTCATCTGGGGAAGGATGCCTCAGCACAGTCTGCCATTCTGTATATTTCTGTTTCAAAACAATATAATAATGTTGCTATGATACAATTTTATATAGGTCTTATATAAAGTTAATTCACTTCCATTCTTAAAGAGTGTTTATAGAGGTAAGTCAGAATAGCAGTGGTTGACAAGTGAGAGGAAGGAATTTCTTGCTCTTTTGGCTGCGTTCATTTTGCTTCTTTGATGAGAACTAGGGCTGCATGCTCAGATTTAAGTGTCAAACAAACCTAGGTGTCTGTCTTGGTTTCATCTGCTTACTGTGTGACCTTGGATATAATATTTAAACCTTTTAGCCTTAGTTTCTGCATCTATAAAATGTAGATAATTACCTGTTTAATAGAATTAAATAAGAATGCTTAAAGGGTTTACACATAAAAATTCAATCCAGTAAGTATTTCTTATCATCCTCTTTTTGCAACTCTATTCTATTTTTCATTCTCTTGAAGATAAATATTATTATCAGCTAAATCAAATATAATGTTATAATAATATTAGAGAAACTATGTAGCAGTTCTTGGCCATTTATTTTTTGTCACTGTTTTGATGAAAAAACATATCAAGCAAATTTTTGTTTCTTTTGGCATTAATAAAAGACATAAGATTATTCTGGTTTGATTTAGATTACATTTGGTTGCTAAGGTAGAGTTCCACTTTTCCTGATGAAAATCTGTTTGAATTCCTTAACATCAGATAGACTATAGTTGAAATGGGACTTTCTGACAGCTAATGAACAACTTAGAATATATATATTTATTTATGGACCTATATTCTGAGACACATCTGTATGCACTTATGGGAAGGTAGGCAGTGCTCAGTGTCTACTCTGCTAAGGGTGAGGGGAGAAAGTGACCAGCACATTTTCTTTTCTGTGGGGATCATAAGGTTTCTGAGATCTCTGGGAAAGAGGTACAGCAATGGCAGTTAGTTTGGAGCCAAGGAAAACCTCAAGAATTATTGGCAGATCCTAATTGATTTATTGAGGGTCTTTATTATAAAACAACAATGTTCAATAGAAATATAATGTGAGCCAAATATGTAATTTCAAAATGTCTTGCAGCTATATTAAAAAATGCAAAACAAAACAAGGTAAATAAATTCTAATGATATATTTTTGTTAGTCAAAAATATATCCAAATGTTTTTATTTCAACTTGTAATCAAATGTAAAAGATTATAAATAAGTTACTTTATATTTTAGAAATATTTTATTGCTTCCAGCACATCTTAATTCAGATGCTAAATTTCACTGGAAATACTTGACCTATATTTAGATTATGTAAAATTTGCACTTAAAAAAGTAGACTCACAGATATTCTAAATATACCTAATTGTTTTTCAATAATTTAATTGCCAATTTTGAATTTGAGATTAAATTTAAAAATTCAGTTCCTCAAACACAGTAGCCATATTTCTAGTACTCAACAGCCGCATGTGGGTGGTTGCTATCATATTAAACAGTACAATTTTAAAGATTAAAAAAAAAGTTTTGTTTCTAGCCTTCATTTTTTTGCAGTACTGATGATTGAACCCAGGGTCACACATGCTAGGCAAATGCTCTGCTATTGAGCTACATCCCCAGCTCTTTTTATTTTATTTTGATACAAGGTCTGCCTAAGTTGTCCAGCTGGCCTCAACCTTGGTAATCCTCCTTCATCCACTCCCAAAAAGCTGGGATTATTAATATATGCCTCCATGCCCAGCAAACTTCTTGCATTTATACAGAATGTACTTTTCTTGTGTCTGACACATTTATAAGGCTTAGGAAAGTGAGGCCTGCTTTAAAATTTGTGACTAACTCAGACCAGGAGAGAAATATTTGTGAATTCCTCAGCACAAGAACACTTCAAAGAAATCCAATGGTGAAATATTTTTTTCAAGCTTAGCAGGCCTTTTGAGGAGAAACATTTTTAAGGTAGCTTTTTATGTATGTATGTATATATGTATGTTCTGTTTAATTATGACTGTGTGTAAGCATACTACTGAGAAAACACATCCCTGTTTTGTTCAGCTTAACTTGACAAATCATGGAACAAATAAGTGTATACAAATTATGAGTTTTTAAGTCAAGCATCTAGGCATAAAGATAAGTAACAAAGGGCAAAGCAAATCCCTAACAATAGGTTTTATCTAGAGAAAATACTTCAGAAGCTTAATTATTTTGAGTGAATTGGAAATTTTTAAATTATACTTTAGATTTTTAAATCTATCATATTCCAGAATGCCTGACAAATTTTATTTGACATGTTTTTACATACATGCAAATTTTTTCCAGGCATATCAAACATCCAACAATGCATTAATCAATATATTTAATACTTTTACATTAAAATTTTTATAAAATGTTCAGTGTATAGATATAAATTCATAGTACTAAATATGCCCAAGAACTAATGAAAATGGTTAATTCTAAATATATATGATATAAATATTTGTAAACCATTTATTAAATACTTCTTCAATATGAATTCTACTCCCCCCCAATTTTTGTTTTTATGGGCATTCACTAAGAGGGCTGGCAGCGTTAGGGAGGTGGCTCAGAGGCAGAACACTTTGCTTCAGACGTGCAAGGCCCTGGGTTCAATCTCCAGTAACACACACACACACACACAGAGAAATGAATTCTAAGGCAATGTGGAATTTGATTATTGATAATAAGTTATATAGTCTAATTTATGAAAAAATCTATCAGCTATGACCCTTAAAGCAACATTACTCACTTGGTATAATAAAGTCTCTGTAATAAGATACTGTCACTGGATCAAAGGTTCATACTTGGAAGACATCCCTTTTGCCATTATATTTATATTCCCTAAGTGTTTTGCTATTTGTGAACTGATACTCTCTTCTTTGAATCTCTCTAAACTTATTCATAAAGCATTACTAAAACACAATTATTCAGGGTTTATGTGAGGCTTTATTCACAGAATTATTTCAGATAAACTCCTTAAATAAATTTTTTATGTCCACTGTGCTGACTTTAATAAATATCTAATAGCAAATTTTCTTTTCCAGGTACTATTCCCCTGGATATTCAGAGACACTTCTGCAGAGAGTGGACAGCTATCAACCACTTATCAACTAAACAAAGTTATATATTAATACTCAAATTCACAGCAGAGAATTTGTGATTACTGTTATAATTGTTAAAGTTCTTTATAAATATTCAAACTTAAGTACATTCTAGATTTATTCAATGTGACATACCTTTAGATAATATTTTCTAAATTTATGCAATACTTTAAAAATTAGTAGCTTGAATACATGAGGAAATATTCATATTCATTTGCATGCATAGGATTTGTATTTGCTCTAAAGGTAGATTTAAAAAGACATAAAAGGGTTTTTAAGGTATCTGTTATTTTTCTGCTAAACAGCACTCATACATACATACCCCCTCCAACTACACAGAGGTAAGAGATAACGTTCAATGTTTTTTTGGCCAACTTCCTTTGGCAAGGAAAAACTGATCTTGCAGATTACACATTAGGATCTAGAAGAAAAATAGTTAAAAGAGAAACTGATGACGGGAATACAGGACTCCAATGCTGGTTGCATAAATGCATTAAACTCACAGAATCTAGGGATAACTTGTCAGGTTAAGAATTTAAGAAGGCCCTTCTCTTTATCACAACATTTGGAAGTTCTTTTTACCTAAAGTGTTCCTTATCCTACACAGGGCTGGCTTTGTTCATGAATAAACAAGGAAGCAGGCATAAAAAATGGCTGTCAGTATTCCCTTGTTCTAGGTTGTTCACTTTCCCAAATTTCAAAGCTACATGTTTTTTTAGGGATTTAAGGGAATAATTTGTAAAGAATACCTATAGGCTCAAATTTATATACATTTTCACTTAGGAAGCTGTAAAGGGATTAAAGAGTATTTTAATAAAATTTTAAATAAAAGAATATTAGAATTGTTTTTTTTTTCCTTATCTAGTATTTTTCTGACTTTGGGGAATCTTTGGATTTGGGAGTCTTGTTTTGTATGTGCCTTTAAATCTAAAAGGAATGTTGTTTATGGTGATCTTTCTGGGAGACTTTCAGAGAAAGTGACAACCTGGAGAGCCCCCAGGACACCATGGGTCCAATCTGTTTTTCTTTTCAGGTTTTCTTTTTGGATTCTTCACCCCCTACCTCCCACAAAAGGAACCTAATCATTTAATTTTGGCATTTTTCTGGACTCATCTTTGTCATCATTATTTCCAAATAGTGCATAATTTGTTGTGTCTTTTAAAATTCATCAAACACAAGGATTGTCCCATTTTCCCCCCTTATGACAGGCTAGGATTGCTAAGTGATTTCATTTTTTTGTTTTAGTCTAGGGATTGAACCCATGGCCTTGCACATGTTAAATAGGTGCTCTCCCATTGAGCTACACCTCCAGTCCCTGGATTCATTGTTAAATACTTTCTGGGGCCTGTTTTGTTTTCTTGTAGCAATATCTTTCACTCCTTGTGTCAGAAAGTGTAACTTTTATTACCAATTTTATAACTTACTTTCTTTCCTCCCATCTCATTTGTCTTATAAGCCTTTAATAACTTGAGAAAGTAAAAGTAGTTTTTATCTTTTTTCTTTAAGACTGTTTTTCTTATGATGACTATGTTGGTAATGATGGAAACTAGTTCATATAGGTTAAAACATCCTCAGATATGATTGGAATGGTGACTGTCCTATGTTTTCTTGAAATTGTGCTTTGTACTTGATATGAAAAAACATTATGCATCATTTCATACATATAAAATATAGAACTAAACTAGAAAGTAATAAATATTTAATACTATTCAGGTGTGTTTGTAATTTGATCATACACAATTTGGAAGTTTTATGCTTTGAAGTGTTTCTTGACATAAAACACTTTAAACAACATGAAGCTTTCTTTACTTTGTTTTTTAATAAAAAAAACTTTTTCATTTGTATTAGAGCAAAAATAGTGTCTCTCATTGATGATATCCTCTGATATTTTCGTTCCTGGTTTGAGTTGTACCAATTCCAATTCTCTATGTAAACTAACTGCTGTCCCACTGTTCCCAACCCCTTGCAGTTTATTTAAAATTCAATTATTTCACTGATACAAACTGTTTTTAGGACTTCAGTTCAGGAATAGACTTGGTTGAACCTTATTATTATAGATGCAAGCAATTTACCTCTTGGGGGCATAGATTAAATGAGTTGGTACCTGAAAGAGATGTTGAAACATCTCTTTAAGAAACTAACCTAGAAACTAGTCTGTTAAGTGGTAAGCCTGATAAATACTTGTTCAGTTTACTTTAAGGATGCTTATGAAAATAACTTGCAATGGTTCATGTAACCATTTTGCAATTGTTCAATTTATATAAACATGATGTGTGATTTATAGGAAATCTGATAGTCAATGACAGTCTACACATTTTGATGGGCAATTGTGCATTATCCCTTCATGCACCACACTCTTGGATAAGTAGAGTTTCAGCCAGATGATTTATGATAAAGAAAAACTACATTTCCTGCCCTCATGGAGTTTTCTAATATAAACACATTTCCCCAGACATGGAAGTAGAACAGCCACAAGACACTGAACACAAAACAGGCATATTTAATTTACATATAAAAACAAATGACAACCTCATATTTACAGGACATTGACCTGTTTTTCTAACCCTTTCCTCTCAAAGAAAACCCTTTCCCTTAAAGAAAAAATGAAAGGTTTGCCTATTTCTAAACTTGATTTGAGGTCCTGCTTAACATAAATCCTGACCTTAAATTCTTGGGTGAGGCCATCTCCAAGATTTTTCTAATGTGTTTTCAAATAGCCAGCCTTTTGATTAAGATAGGTGCTAGCAAATGTTGGGACTGATTTTGCCATAAAACCACTGTTTAGGAAATACTGGTTTGAAAGGATCAAATGACAGTCTTTGTAACTGTTGCATATACCATTTGGTTAAAAGACTTTTGACTTCTAAAATTAGATTTGTCCATACACTTACTTTTGTGGAAATCAAAATACTTACATTATTTTGTTTTGAAGATGCCTCATAGGCTAAGCCAAAAAATTAGACCAATATTCAGTGATCCTGCTTTAAAGAACAATGGTGGGTTTTATTGTTTTTGTATATATCAATAAGTAATCTTTTGAAAAGTTTAGATAATATAATTGAAGAGAAAAGCAAAAATATCACCCCAGATCTTATAACCTGGAAAAGAATTGTCATTATCAACACAATTTCAAATAGCTCTCTAAGCCTTTCAAGGTTAAAAAAGAAAATTGGCAAAATGTATTCAGTGTATACATGAGGTTTAAGATAAAAAACAAGAGTTACAACATTTGCTTGTTTTGCAGAGGATGGAGTTTTCAGTTTTTCTTTTGTTTATGTCAGTGGGTTTAGGGAAAAGTATTTCCCAGTGACTAATTTAGGAATCAATATAAAATATTTATAACTGGATTTCTTTTGTTCACGATTGATATGTTGTCTACAGTAGATTTAAAAAACTGCTGAATTAAGATTATTAATGCATCTATTGCAAAGTGGTTGGTATATTTATACAGTAAATAGAACCTCAATTTTTCCGGAATATAGAATTTTTTATAATGCCCTCTCAAATTTATACTAAAATGTATTTTTGGATATAGAGTCCAACTCTTTGAGAACTATTGTAAGCTATATTGAGTTTTCTGTTTTCCTTATTTCTGTGGCATGTACAGTGTTCAAATCATACAAATGTCATTAAAAGGCCAAAAAGAGTATCATCATTTTCCCATTTTTAACTTTGATAACTCAAGCATTATCATTTTCTTAGATGAGTGAATTTGTTCCTTTTTTGTCAGTCCCCAGTGTCACCCAGCACTGTGGCAAGCATGAAGTAGTGGCAGGTTGGACTGAGAGGTAAGGCTTCTGGGTACCTGCATGTATTAGGCCAGGCAGCCCTCTGTCTGTGGTCAAGTCTCTTCATGTTCCCAGGCATTAGTTTTCTGAAATATCATAGTGTAGGGTGGAAGAGAACAGACTAGACTCAAAAGAGACCAGACCTGTTTTAGAATCTCAAAATTACTATACCCAGAGTTAGTAGCCATGGGCAAGTTAGTAACAACACCCACTTTATAGGATCCTGCAATTAGAGGGCGACTGAGCACAGGGCTTGGTGTGCAGTAAGCAGTGCTGGTATTAGGTTATATGATATCTTTGTGTAAATAGAAAAAGATGTTCAGTCCTCAGGACACTTTATTTCTATCTGGCAGAAATTATTGTAATAGCCTTATTTTGTTAAAGTAAGACACTTTACTGCCATCTGCTGGAAAATTCTCTTTATAAATACACAAATCCATGATGTCTAATATGTAAACCACGCCACCCAAGAAGTGCTGGTGCCCTTGGATAGTACACAACCTGAACAGCTGTGCACATAAGTGCTCAATAAATTGTATTTGCTACTCTCCTTTTTATTTTTGTAAATGGGATTTGGACAGAATTCTAGATAGCTATTATATAAAGATTCATTTAGAAAAATTAAAAAGCCAAAGTCAATCTCAATTTTTGAAATTAGCATTTTGCTACAAAACATGGAAATATTTGTGCTCTCAGCTTCCTTCACTTCCCATTTCCCCCAATGAAAAGTATGTTCTATGATAAAACCTGTGATTTAAGTTAGTAAAGATACTAATTAAACCATTACTCTTGTGTTTATAAAACAAATAAGGGGACATATTTTATGCATCAAAAGCAAAGCACATTTTTGGAAAACCCATATAGCCTTTTCATTTTGATTTTAAAATTGGATGAAAAAATAAATATAATATATATATGTGTGCAATATATATATATATATATATATATATATATATATATATATATATATATATATTATTGCAAGACTGCAGATTTCTGGAAAGCACTTCTGCCTGGCTCCACACACCTGGGCTGGGGTATATCTTCTAGCCATATTAGTCCTTATTAAAGGGATGTAGTGTGGTATGTGCACTCTTTTGTGTCCTAAAGAAAAAAAATGGCTCATTTTCAGACCTAGCAGTACAATCATGGAGAAGACTAATAGTGGGTAAAGGACAGTATACTGAGAATGGGAGCAATCTCCCAGAGTATAGAATACACTACAGTGACAAGGACTGCAGGTGCCAGGATGGCTCTTGGAATTTGGGAGGAATCAACAGCCCATGGTAAAATGAGGTGGAAATGCACAACTGCCA